GTAAGATTTATATAGTAATCAATAGTGTCATAATTCATCATTAATCATGTTATTGAATAACTTTTCAAATTTAATTAAATAATGAACAGATTTTTTTTTTGCAGTTACTGCATATAAGTTATCTGCATTTACTCCCAAAACGACGTCGTTTTGGGATTAAAATATTAAAAACTTATAATTATAAAGACTATAATAACCTTGAAATAAATTAAAATACAAAAATACCATGATTTCCACCCCAAAACGACGTCGTATTGAGCTTAATGCAGATAAGTTATCTGCAGTAATAGCAGAAAAAGCGAACCCAATAATGAAAATATTTTTGGACAAGCCTACGCATAGAATAATTTTGCCTCAATTAATTAATAATCAATTTAATTTGTCTTTTGGTAAACAATATACAATGTAATTATGATGTAGTAATTTAAAATAGTGTTTTAATTAATAGTAATCGTATTGTAATTTACAATGTCATAAAACTTAACTGTAAGAAAAATAAGTAATAAATATTGAAAATTGTAAACATTAATCTTTAATCGTAATTTTGATTTATTATATTTATAATAACATTAATTAGTAATGATTAAACTCATAACAATTGTTTTAAGTATTATGTAGTTACATATGTAAGTTTAGTAATTCAAACCCTAACAATTTGATATTATAAGTTAAATTATTAATTTTTAGTTATAAATTAAATAATTGAATAGTCAGTAGTTTTGGTCACGTTGGGTTGCTTAACGCGTTCATTCACATCATTAGGATTGACGGGTCTGTTGTCGTCTGATTTCTTCACCAGTTCCAAGCACGCGGCTTAGGTGGCATGGTGTGCCGCCAGTGTTCATGGCGGGACTGAATCCGTCAGTCAACCTGACGCGGTTGACTGCTCTACAATAGTCATACTTTTCAAATGTATTATCAACTAGAGATACTTTTAAAAATTGACCGTAGTACGGTCGTTTTGCCTATATGTTACATTACACTTTTCAGTTATCACCAGTTTGATATTTAACAGGTTGTCACCTTGGCTGAAACTGAATCGTCTTAATGTTAAGTTTCTAGATGTTAATTAGTTTTTTTTTTACATAGACCTTAATTTCTTTTTTGAGACAAGTTAGCTTTTGGACATTTTCACAACCTTCAATTTTTTTATTCGGCCATAAAATTAATCTCGAGTAGAGATTTAGTCCATGTTAATTGAAGTTCTTCACCACTTTACAAAAACATATTTGTGGAAATCAAACTAAAATTATCTTTTTACCTACTCAGTCTGTGTTGCTAGCTGAGATACACTTGTTGGGTAGTTTTTATTTTTGTACATACTTAGTTATCATATATTGAAATTTTTATGAAATGAAAGGTATTTTTATTATCGGAAAGGTGTTTATCAATAGTCACTTATAAGAGAAATTAATATGCTATAAAATATATAATTATTAATGTATATTTATGATTTAAGCTTTTAGGTTGAGGTGCTCGTAAGTTTAATTCTTATTACCCCAATGTTTTACTAAAAATGTCCACAAAATATTGTTAAAAAGGCAACTTAGGGATGTTAAGAGACCTCAAAGAAATAAAAGTTGCCTAAAAAAATAAATTGAGGTTTGCTGGAAAACAAATGTGACATTAGAAGTTGCGAAAATATATAACTCACCAACTTTAGAGAATTTCGCATTAGAAAAGCGACGAAAATGTCACGGAGAATGAAATCAATCTGATACCATATTAGAAATTTTATAAAATTAAAGTTATTTTCATTAATGGAATAACGTCTATATTATATATAGACGAATATTAGTAGATAAACAACTAAGACAGTAGCAGTTATCTTTATCCTCATTCCTAATTGGCTAATACTACCACAAAATCAATAGCTTATTGTTGTATTTTATTCATTCGCATTGCTCTGTGTTATCTGTCACTAGAAAAAAACAAATAGAGGTCTTGGCTGCATAGGACAGCAGAACAATGAGATGTCAAGATGGAGAAGTGCATGCATGGAAGGATTTTCACGACATTCAGATTCAGCCAACGTCCTTGAAAATGTAGAAAGAAGCGAAAGGACCACAGTTGTGACAGCTTCTATCTATAGCATGCATCGTCACTTTCAGCCTCATCTTAATGGCCAAAACACTTTGCTGGTTGGTTTCAGACATGAGGTGGTAGTTTCCCCAAAGGAATTCAAACATGTGGCTACTGATTTAACTTTTAATGTCTACCCCACTAGTACAAAGGAATACGAGTACGGTGATTCTTTTCTCTGTTACAATATGTACTTCCCTGTAGACTAATTATTTAAACAATATTCTTACTCATGTACATTTTTTAACACATTTTCCTTTAACTAAAAAAAAACAGAAGTGTATGGATAACATTATTGTTATCTAAACTTGAAAACTAATGCACTCAGGTAAGATTAGCGAACATTGACAATTCATCGGAGATATATATATCACCAAGTACGTGGATCAACTAGTGAGTGATTGTTTCAATTTAACTAGTGATCTTGTGTTCGAATCCCTGAGAACGCAAGCAGCTGTATTAAAATTTGATAGAGAGAATTTTTGTTGTCTATGTGGTTCTATTCAGTTCAAATCAAACTAATTGAGTAATCCATTAATTGATGGATAATATATAAAGAAATATGTCTTATTTTAACAATAGAATAGAATATGAAGCTTTCTCTGCGTTACAATATATACCTCCTCTACTTATACAAAAAAAAATAAAAAAAAATATATACCTACTCTAGAGTAGTTACTTCAACCTTCATCATAAGTACACCCAGATCCGTTCCGTGATTCTGTCTGAGTATGATGGTATCTCTCAACAATTATATTTAAAGAGGCTTTCTTCAATGAACTGTTTATCATCAGTAAAAGGTATTAAAATTTCAAAGATTTTTCTTACCTTTAAATTAAATTACAGAATGTTTACAAGTTCACAAAATTACAAAAGAATGACTACGCAAATTGCAAAAATAACAGTGAAAATATTAATATCTGAGTTATAGTCTTTCAATAGAAATAAAAATTTAGATACAAAGGTCAAATGAAAAGTTCAAAAGGTGTAAAGATCTTCAAGTTTTCTTGTTGGGCTCAAAGACACACTTGATTTATGGAATCTTCGATGGACCACAAGTCCGGGAACTCCATTTTGAGTTTGGATGCGTCTATTTCACTGTTAAACCTGGGAGCAACTATGACCTTCGTAATTAAAATTCTCCCATTGTTATCAAAAAAAAAAAAAAAAAAAAAATTCTCCCATTCAAATTGTGGATCAATGTAATTATTGTCCAATTCCAATATCTCATTGTGGCTCTCCAAGTGTGAGGAATGAAGTTCTACATTAATTAGAAATGTATTAAGTGATAACGATATAAGTGGAAGGACAGATTAATCTTGCCGTAAGGTGAATTTGTCTTAAAAGTGAGCAAGTTATGTGCACTCTTAAATTTCGTTAGGTTACTAAGAGTAGCCTTGTCCAATGGAGAAGACACATCATCCCACCAATCAGGGTCTATTAGTACATTGTCATTTTAAGTCCTTCCTCCCAAACAAGCAGCCAGAGCTTTCAATCATCTAAGAAATATCTCTAGGCGTTTGAAGGTATGTCTTGAACAAACCCAATAACTTCTTTTAGAATTCAAATTAAAGACCCTGCAGATGTTCTGTGTCAAATCTAACACGCCCATTTCCTTCTTAGTGCCAATATTGTAGACATGGCCAATCACTTGTCTACCGTGGCGGATCCAGGAAATTAATGAAGAGTGAGCATTCAATAAGTTAAGTATATATAGATTTGGGTCTGGTCTGAAATGCGACTTGCGAGCAGCGGTTGGCTGGCTGAGTCTGGTTGAGATCTAGATCTGGACGAATTGCAACTCAACTAGACCCATGATGGACGAAGAAGCAAATGTTCCAACTTCCAATAACTGAGTATGTAGATGCAAACGATGAGTCTGGAATATAGCTCTTTGCTGTAAGGTTTGGATAATGAAGATGGAGGAGAAAAAAAAAACTCACAGGAAAATAAAATAGAAGGAGGGAAATTAAAGGGGGTAAGATATCGTAACAACCAACTAGGGTTACTACAAATCAATTTCACCGTTAGATCGATTATGTTGATCCAACGATTATATTTATTTCTATATTTGTATGATTATGATCCCCATATATGAAAAATCATAACCATAAAAAGGTGAAAATAAATATAAAGTATTAAATATGAGGAATTATAACCATACAAAGATAAAAATAAATATAACCGTTGGATCAATATAATCGATCTAACGATGAAATTGATTGGTAGTAATATTGGTAGTAACCCTAATTAGTTGTTACAATATCTTATCCCAAAATTAAATTGAAAAAACTTGAATTTTAAGAAAAGAGTATTTTTGCATCATATTTTAAGGGTGGGCACTTGTCTCCTTTCTCCAACCTAAACCTGTCTCTGCTTGTGTATGAATTGTATGCTTCTTCAACCCACAACAGAGATAGCTCTTCACATTGGATCCAGTGCCATGTATATAGCCAATTTCTCACTTTTCATGGTCAGAACTCAGAAGAATGAATTTGGGGACAAGATTTTTCTATGAAGTTAACTTCCCACCTTTTTCTTTTTCTCCATTTTTTTTTTGCTGCAATCAATGACCTTGGTTGGGGGAGTGGAACGTCATTTCATGTGTTAATTAACATGATCACGTCTTGTGAGAGGTGAATTCTTTTTTGACAAGAAGAAATGAATCGAGACATGTCAGTATAAAATAAGTTTGGACTAACAAGATAATCTGAAATTTTTAGCTCACTCTTGAGGTAGGACGGACTAATTTATTTTTTAGTGAGTTGATGTGAAGGCGTGGCGTTTGCCCCCCTCTAAGTGTAAAGCTTCTCTTTACATTTCGGAACATGAGTTTAAAATGTAACGGAGTTTGTAACGAAAGATAAAAAAAAAAGCGTAGAGGTTATTTTGGGCATTACAAAATCTTAAATGACAGAGAGACCTTTATTATAGTCTATAGACTCGCTATATTACATTTGGTTTGTTCGTTAAGAGTTCGTAGCATTCTGTAAAGTGGTCGAGGCTGCTAGGGTTTATCGTTTTTTCTTTACCACATCGCTTCAGGTTCAGATTTCTCTTCTATTCTAATTTAGTATTCTTTTCCCTAACCGTAAGTCATTCAAACTATTAATATGTTTTTTTTTTAATTTATTCGAAGATTTGTTTTTTTTTTTTTCACCTGCAATTTGTTTTCTTCATTGAAATTCTCGGGTTTGGGTTTTTTCCCCCTTGCGTTTCTGATCAACCCCCCCCCCCCCCCCCCCCCCCTCTCCTGCAAGATTTTCACGGATATACGAATCAATTGCATCGTTTTTTTAGCACATGCCATTTTGTACGAATTTAAATTCGAGTTATTTAATTTGTGTTGTTTGTGACCGTGTAGGTTCTTGACTTCTTGTGAAAGGCTGAAACGATGTCTCGCGTTTATGTTGGTAACCTGGATTCTCGAGTTTCTGAGAGAGATCTTGAAGATGAATTCCATGTTTTCGGAGTTATACGGAGGTAGCGGAAGCATTATTTATTAAACTTTTTTATTTACATATTTAAAGAATTAAGGTGAATCTTGAATATGTTAGTCTTTGTTTATAATTCTTGTCATGAAATGTATGCCTTTCCTCTAGATATGGTAACTTTTTTTTGTTCCTGGTTCAGGATTGGAGTCCGTATACTATTGTGGATGAACTGGGAGTACTCTCTGTAGTTATAGAGTCATAGATATTAACAACTGGGCCTAACTGTGTTTTCTCTCCCTCTAATATTGTAGTGGGGAATATACAAAATAAAACGGTTTTACGAATTGTTTGGTGGTCTCCAATGATAATTCATCTTTTTTTTTTTTTGGTCTCTTTCATTATATTAATTTTTTGTCATGTGGTTCAGCTCAATTTGATAAAGAGGGAATTATATGGGGGTTAATACAATTCAGCGTGGAAAACTAGTTCACAGAAGCTCTATAATTCCTAGATAGGAAGTCGACTAGCTTTCTAGGCCTGAAGTTTGCATCTCTGCGTTACAGTGAATTAGGTCACCAAGCAGTATCATATTTCTCAATTGAATTTTAGACTCGTCAACTTTAACATTTTCTTTACTAGTTTGAATGTTGATGGAAATTTTGAATGGATTCTTCCTGTTAACTGTATCTTTTAAGCTTCATACTTCTTTATAATAGATATTAATTTATCTCCAATCTGTCATTTATGTAGTGTGTGGGTTGCACGGAGACCTCCTGGTTATGCTTTTATTGACTTTGATGACCGCAGAGATGCACAAGATGCTATTCGTGAATTAGATGGTATGTTTAGAAGCATTTTTGAAATGTATTCGAATGCCATTATTTATTTTCCACATTTTCAAAGTAGTTGATTCTTCTTGCATGCTAATGTATTATTGTTTCCCCTTCTTTTCTGGTTGATTTGTTGAAGGGGTTTGCCTCAACTTCACTTCCTTTTTTAGTCTCCTATGAGGAAGCAGATGCTCCCTTTCTTTTACTTCTGCATTCTAAATATCTTATACAAGAAGGCGTGCAGTAAAGACTGCTTTGTACAATATGACTGCATGTAAAGGCTAATGAGAATTTAGAATGTGAACAGAGGAAATGCACTGCTTTGGAGGGTTATGGCAAGCTACACATCTGTGACTTAATTCGTTTGTTTTTATGAGATGTGTGCTACTACAATTAACCTGTGGGCCATGTGCATGCTGCCTGTGTTCTGTATATGTTCCTATGAGCAATTTGTGCTGCAATAGGTCATTATTGATCATTGGTCAAATGAGCTTCTGAAAATAATATGGTAACACGAATGCTGTTTTGTAAAGAACCAATTCAACCCAAAAACTTAAGCTATTGGGTGAGGTTACATTAATGATTTTATATATCTCTAACACGCCCCCTCACATAAGAGTCCATTGAGCTTGAAGGATGGATGATGCATCAGGCCCAGCCTTGCGCTAAGAAATTACACAACAGAAAATAGGGGGTGGTGAGGATCGAACCCGTGACCCTGAGACTCTGATACCATGTAAAAAACCAATTCAACCCAAAAGCTTAAGCTATTGGGTAAGGTTACATCAATGGTTTTATATATCTCTAATATGTCTTTGCTCAGAATGATGAACTTGTTCTCCTATATGTATATATGATATTTTATCATTTTTTGAACCGGGGGCGGGGGGGGGGGGGGCGGATTATGCCACCAGTATAATTTTCTTGTCTTACTGTTTATTTTGTACTTATTTAAGTGTATGTCATCTGTGTTTTTAAATAACAAGTATTGTTATATAATTTAAATTTCTTATAAACTGATCTTTCCTTTTTGCTAATCATTGTATATTCTGTTTTTTCTTCTTGCTGAAACGATCAATCTAAAGATTGATTTGTTTCACACGGTTATGGTTCCATGCCACCAATTTGTCCTTTTCAATATTTATGTGCTTGAAATTTATCTTCAATGTGATAATTTTTTTGGTAGTAGTACTTTTTTGTTTAAATTATCGAATATGATTCTATATTTCTTTTACTCTAATCAACGGAAAGCCATTTGGGTTGATTGCATTTCCCCTTTTATTTACTGTGCCTTTTCATTTTTCTTCCATGGAGCAGGTAAGAATGGATGGAGGGTAGAGCTTTCTCACAACTCTAGAGGTGGAGGTGGTGGTCGCGGCGGTCGATCTGGTGGTGGTGGTGGTGGTGGTGGTTCTGATTTGAAATGTTACGAGTGTGGTGAACCAGGTCATTTTGCTCGGGAGTGTCGCATGCGTGGCGGTTCTGGAAGACGCCGGAGCCGCAGTCCACCTCGATTCCGCAGGAGCCCAAGTTATGGACGAAGGTAAGATTTCTTTCTTTTGATACTGTCTACAATTGTATAGATATTTGTATTTTCCTGAAGACAAAATTCATGATATTGTTTTCATTATTTTTCATATCAAAGTACAACTTGTTAGTTGAGTCACCTGCTTTTGTAACAATGTTATTTGTTATGGTTTAAAATTAAGTCTACCTGATCAGATGATTCTGAAAAGTAACAAAAAATTGAAAGCTTATGTGGTGCGAATAATTGTTCAATGCATATTTATTAAAATTAAGTCTACCTGATCAGATGATTCTGAAAAGTAACAAAAAATTGAAAGCTTATGTGGTGCGAATAATTGTTCAATGCATATTTATAAGTGTTATATTTTCTCTGTTATGTTGTTTCACCACCTTTAATAAATACAAACCAGGAGTTACAGTCCTCGTGGGCGATCCCCTAGGCGTCGCAGCTTGTCACCTCGTGGACGCAGCTATAGCAGGTCACCTCCTTACCGTGGGCGTGAGGAGCTAACATATGCTAACGGGTTAGGTTCCTTCTCTCTGCCAGGATTTATCTTGGTATTACTTCATGGTTGCCAGTTTAAATAATGCACCTGTGAACTGTTTTAAATATTGATGGATGTGGGTAGCGTATAGTTTTACTTTTTCATTTGTAAGGTCTTCTAGTTATTTATATAATTGCTGGAAATTGTTTTTTTGCTTGGTGTTATTTGTAATGATATTAGGGTGGGCCTGATTTTCTATTAGTTATTTTTTATTTTGTTTTCAGGAGAATCTCGTAAGATAGTTTGCATGAGCTTTACATCAGAAAGTTATGTTGCATGAGTCTAATTTGTGTTGAAGTAAATAGTGTTTTTAAGATACAAAAGGAGTATTATGCTCTGGATAATACCCCTACACTCTTTTTTGTCCCTTTTTACAAACTGCTTGAGGTTGCCCTAATTTTTTGTGGCATTTTGTCTTTTCTAAGTCTGTTAGCTGTACAGGTGAATGACAAATAAATCTGCTAACTGGAGTAGGACCTGGGTGTTTGTTTGTTTTTAGTATGAATCCTTCATGCTAAATTGTGTGCTTTTAGTTCCTTAGTATTAATTCTGCAATCACTGTTGTTGCTATGCTTTTGTGCTGATATATGATAATGTTCAATAATGTGCAGAAATGGCGTAAGGGATCGACAACGAAGCAGAAGTTGATTTTAAGAGTTGTTAACCGCGACTGTTAAGTGGATAGTGAGATTTTGTTAATCTAGTGTGCTTCAACTGCAGTATACGTCTGTTTTATTGGGCAATGCCCTGAGCTTCTACTCTGGGATTGGTTTAGTTACTTTCTTGATTTCTTAGCTTGTGTTCTTTTATCTCCTCGGACTTCTTGTAGTTTCATTGCAGGTAAAGAGAGTCTTTTTAAGTTATTTGCTGCAAATTTGTTATGAAGAGTTCAAGATTTGCTAAAATATATGCTTTTCTTCTGTGTTGAGGTGTCTTCTGGTACTGCTTCCTTGGTTTTGTGCTTCTGCATTCACTGGGATATCGTCCCTGGCTGCCCTTCTCTGGGATGGGATTTTCTATTTTTGAATGGTTGTTAGTCCCAGCCAGCTACATGCTTCTGTTTCATTGAGTCTCGCTACTTGTGATGTGCGCGCCTCAAACTCTAATAGCGTATGTTTTTATTAAATTATAAGGGGTTGACGGGCTGCATCAAATACTTCAGGGAGGTAATTAATTACATATGTTCTACAGAAGTTGGGCTTATGGGTTTTTTCTATACATGTGATATATAGATCATCATAATGAAACGGTAAAGTGTGTTTAATGGATAATCAAAACTTGATGCTATGTTTTTTTTTAGCATTCAACTTTATTCTCATAAATTATATATTTTGAATTGAACACCTATGTCCTGAAAAATCCTAGCAAGGTTGATTATTTTTTTGAATTTTGCATCAATTTCGGGTCCCTAGTTTTAATCCTTACAGTTGCCTGACCTTTGTTGATTATTTGGTTAGCTCTGCCATGTTATGTGATTTTTTTTCTTGAAGAGCTCGCCCTGGTGAAGAGGTGATAGTACACTTTTGATTCAGCATCTGGTTTGGGTTCTTCCAGCTGGATGATTTGACCTACTAAAATTTGATATTCACCTCGGTTTGATTTAATATTTACAACGGATATTGTTGGCTAGGAAGGTGAATTATGTTGAGATGGGTTCTGAGTTGTGGCTGAGCTGGGCATCAGTTTGTGCCTTTTTTGACTTGTGGCCTCTTCTCATCTGTGTTTCCGTGGCCTATACATACTACGTTATCTGTCTTTAAACTGGAAAATCTGAGTCGAAAGGGATTCTTTACTCCGTGTTTTTGAATAGTAAATAATTAACAAAACTGGAGTTTACTACAAGGTTGGTACTTTATTGTGTTGTAATTATTGTAGTTCATCAAACATTTTATGTTGTTTTCACCAAACAAGATGTTAAGCTTGCAATACTGTTACTGAAGTCTGATATTTATGGTTTAAGAATGTTGCAGAATTTACGTGCCATGAATTTACTCCCTCTCTCTGGTTGAGTGTATAATAAGAACAACATTTAAACTTCCAAGTTCTGCAACTTTTTAATATTAAACGGGTAAATATTTGGTTTATATTATAATTTTCATGTGAAGCAACCACTCGTTCGGCCTCTATGGGAATCAAGATCCGTATCCTTACACCTGAAATCTGATCGATCATTGAGAGAATTTTACCTCAAAAGCTATTCAAGTGATACGATGGTCTAAAGTTCATATAAATTTTACATTTGTAACCCATATAATTATTGTGCGACTGCAAGTCCTATATTTTGAGTAGGATTTTAACATCCCATCAGTCTTCGCAGTCTTTGTCTTGGTGCTCACACGGATTGGCTTTGTGATAGTCTTTTATTAGTCTTGGGTGAATACTGCAATACCAGTGTCACTATCTGTGCAGCTCGATTGTAATTAAGAGATGTAGCGGAAGGTTGTAATACTAATTGATATGAATATTGAAAAAACCTCATTTCAAAAATTAGGTCAAAAAGTAGAAAAGCCCTAAGTTTATATAAATTTCATATTAGTAGTGAAATTTCAAATCCCATACCTTAGTAGTAGGATGGTAACAAAATCCCACTACTCCAATGGACTTATTAACCTCTGCCATAGAGCATGCAACACACTATCAAAGAAATGGACAAGCTGAAGGGTGGGGAAAATATCTGCATTGTAGCCTGATCAAGAGCCCATCTTTCAATACCAAGTAAAGCGGGCACCCAAATCAGTTAAGATCCAGCCTCGTAAATTCTAACAAGTATCCATCGCCAATTGGAACTTTGTAAGGCCTTATACGTAATATAAAATTTGATCTTGATTTAATTTAAAATAAATCCTGAATTTAATTTATTAAAATTTAAAGTTAAAAACATTTTTATTTGTATAATTTTAAAATAAATTTACTTGAAAAAAATATTACAAATGAACATTGCTGTTTGGTAATCGACTGGATGTGCGCCAGCCCTATTAATACGAGAAGTGATGTCCACATTCTCTTGTCACATTAAAGAGAGAGGGTACCGTAGCTCCCACTAAGACGTGCTTCACGTTTTTTCTTTTTTTAAATTTTAGAAATGGGCGTTACAATCCAAATTAAAATTAGGATATACTACAAAGTTTGAATGAAGACTTATAGTGATATCTACTGTTAATCGGTAAATGAAAGACTAACACAAGAATTATACCAAAGAATAGACCCATTAAAGAAGGCAATTCATTGTTACAACCGAGTTAACTTTAGTTGGCTAACTTGCTCATTGTAATCAAAGATTTCCACTTTATATTGATATTATTTTTATACTCAATAGTTTCTTGCACGTCTAGCAAGAATATTGGTCACATTCTTGCCATTGATTCAGAGTCATCAAGATTTAGGACCCACTCAACTATATTTAACTATTCCCTTGATTATTTTACTACTCCCTTGATTATTTTACTACTTTCTATGTAGTACCGATACTGACACGGGTCATGTGACACGATACGACACGACACTCCGACACGTTAATTCTGAAAAATATTAGATTTCGACATGTTAGGACACGTTTTGATATTAAATAATATTTTTAATTTATGTAGTGTATGTTATATTTAATATTCAATAATTTAACAAAAAAATGAAACTAAACTTATGATATTTATCAATTTTGCAAAGAAACATAAGATATCTCAAATATTTATATTAAACTCAATAAAATGATAATCGTAATCGAATCTAGTAATTGGAACTAAAAACTCAACACAACGAAACCTTTGAACTTTTTTTTGAATTTCTATAATAAGTGTTAAAGTGTCGAGGAGTGTCGGAGAGTGTCGGACACGACACATCATGATTTTTGAAGTGTCGGTGCTTCATAGACTACTTTTATATGTTCAATGTTGTTTTTAAGAAAACACCGTTTACTATATGAGTTTTATTAATCTCATGTTAAAGGGGATAAATTATCTCATGTCATAAAGATAAACTTGTGGGCTCTATCACCTGAAAAATAAAAGGAAAAGAAAAGAAAAAGGTGGCGCAGTTGTCAAAGGGTGTGTAGGAAAAAATGTATCACATGTAACATAAGAGTAATTTTTCCCTTACTATATACATTTGAATTAACATTTGATATGTGCAAAATTACGTTTTCTCTTGCCAATTTCCCTTTTCTGTTTCTTTTCTTAAAAAACAATAATTAAATCCAGGAAAAGACAGTTATATTTACAAATTTTTGTTTACAACTTCTTACAAACTACATTATGTATTCTGAATAATACACTTACTTAGAAATATACTCTGTCCGATGTATATTGTAATTTGTAAACAAAATTTTTGTAAATATAATATTTTCCTAAATATAAATATTAAATATTGATTTAAAATGGCTTCTTCTAAGCGGTTAAATTTCTCCAAAACAGACAGATGCCTATGAGCTATGTCTAGATTTTATCTTTCGTTCTTAGCATGCTACATCTATGTAGAATATTCCTGAAAGTAAACACATAGAACTATGGGAAAAATATGTGTCATTTTAAAAGATGTAAAGTTGTGTTATTTTAAAAGAGAGAAAAAGATAAAAAAAAAAAAGGAGAGAGAGTTGACAAAAAATTAAAAGTGCGGGTCACACTTCTTTGTGAGAGTGAAATAACATAAATTATGTCATTTAAAAAGATAAACACTCTTCCTTGAACCTATCTATGAACGTACAAAATAAAATGAAGTTAACAGAAGAGCATGTGCTAGGCCTAACTACGTTTTTGCCGCTACTCATGTTTTTGTCTTCACTACTACAAGTCTACAACTATGACTTGTCATGGTTCCCACGTTCCTGTTACACTTTTATTTATATTTACAAAGTACATTGCTGGTTATTTTGTTGGGCATGACTTAGCAATCAGATAACAATTTTATTTTTATTTTTTTTGTCATTGGCGGGATAAGTAGAAAGCTAACTGGGGTTCCGCTGTCAGATAAACAGGTGAGGGTCTAGGGAGCCGCCCTGGCAGAGTCCGGGGGGAAGTGCCCTAGACTAGTAGAGTCTAGGTACTGTCTCTGATTTATTATAATTTTATTTTTATTTGTAGTTTAGACTTGGGCCTATGAATAACTGTTATTAGAATTTTTTAATCTTATTTATATTCTCCTTGCAGACTGAGGGACTTGTAACTAGGGGTGTAATGGGTTAGTCCGGTCTACAGGAGCCTACGGTCTCTCCTATATTAGGCCAGACTTGGCCTATTACAAAAAGTAAAATACAACAAATATAAGCTTTTAAAAAAATCTATTTAGAAAATAGGTCATAGGCTTTTTTGCACATGTCGAGCCTATCAGCCTACTTGACGACCTATATCACATTATTTATTTTAAATAAAATAAATAAAATTATTATTTTAATAATTTTGTATAACAAAGTAATATTATTTTAGTTTTTCTTTAAAGGGTTCGTTTTTTTTTTTTGCAGTTACTGTAGATAAGTTATCTGCAGTAAGCTCAATACGACGTCGTTTTGGGGCGAAAATCATGGTGTTTTTGTAATTTTAATTTATTTCAGGATTATTATAGTCTTTATAATTATAATTTTCTGATCTTTCAATCCAAACCGACGTCGTTTTGAAAATAAACACAGATAACTTATCTGCATTAACTGCAGAAATATTTTTCTGTTCTTTTAATTGTTGAATGTTTAATAGGCTTAAACAAACTAACAGGCCTAGCCAGAGCTTTTATTTTTTAAATATAAGTCAGGTCAGACAAACTTATAATATGGGGCCTATATAGTCAAGGCCAAACTCAATGTTTTTTTATACAGGGCTGACCTATTTAAGTTAAAGCGTAGCATAGTAGTCTATTTATACCCCTACTTATAACTATTGACGGATGAATATAATATAAACGAGGTAGCCTATATTGGATGAACTAGGTAAATCAGTGTGTCATCTTTTCTGTTTTATCAGTTCGTCTCGATTTCCAACATATATAAGTTGTGTTAGTGGGAGGCCGTTTTGGTGGTTACTTTTTCCGTTGTCTGTAGAAGCAAGTCAACTGTCAACCCCGTAATCATCCAAATCCAAAAGCCAAATATTTGAGGGTTGAATCAAAGCTTATCTCTACCCGCATTACTCCACTTTTCCCTTTTCTTCAAAAGCAAGGAAATTTCTGTTTCCCTCTCTCTATTTTGGTTGCAGTGGAAGTACAAGACGCGTTTAAAGGAAACGGGAAACCAAATAGAGTTTGCTTTTCTTCAATGTGGTGTTGTAACCTGCAATGCACTCCTTACTACTAGTTTCTGTGTGAGCATTTGACAATAGTTCATCATAAGAATGGAACTCAAAAACGAGAAGCTAGTCAGGTTAAGTCTCTACCATATTCTCTTTTTTTGTTTTTCCATTCCCATTACAATTTTGCATAGATTTGATTACTGGGTTTTAAAATCTTACAGGTTCTCCAATGATGGAAAGAAGAATCTTGAACATCCTTGGGAAAATATAGACAACGCTCACAAACCCCATGAGAAGCCATTCCCAGTGTACAAGATTCAGACAGCACTGAATCCTGAAGGGAAAATTAGAAGTGGTGATAAGAACAGAATGAATCTCAAAATTCCCACGCTTGGAAAGTTTAAGGTTTTCCCAGAAAATAATGAGCCATGGAATAAGAGAATTATTGATCCTGGAAGTGATATGTTTTTGGAGTGGAACCGAGCTTTCCTATTTTCTTGCATACTATCACTGTTTGTTGATCCACTGTTTTTCTACCTTCCCTCAGTAGCAAATGAAGGGAATTCATCATGTATGGCTACTGATTTGAATTTAGGAGTTGTTGTGACATGTTTCCGGACATTTGCTGATGTTTTCTATCTGATGAACTTGGCCATAAAGTTCAGGACGGCCTATGTGTCACCAAGTTCAAGAATTTTTGGGAGGGGTGAGCTTGTTATGGATTCAAAGTTGATTGCGAGGTGGTATTTGAGATCAGAGTTCTTTCTAGATCTTGTGGCTACACTGCCTCTTCCCCAGGTACCACAACTGCTTGAATAATATGTTTAATGTATAGGAAATTGAAAACTTGCAATATTATGTTTACTGACAAATTCATAGTGGTTTGGAACAGTGGAAGCTTTAATAGTTTTCATATGCTCTATGGGATAACCTCTGATGATTAGACCATAGTTTGAGTAAATTAATAATGGAATGGATATAGTGTTCTTTTCTTTCTGTGCAAGGTTGGAATATAATCTTATGTTTATGCAATAACAGATTCATATACCTTTCGGCCTCTTTGCTTGGTTTTGTTATCTGTCTTTATATTTTGTCCCTGGAAGTGATGATAAATGACATTGTTGGCTTTTTTTTTGTTGGCAGATTATGATTTGGTTTATTATGCCAGCAATTAGAAGCTCCCATGCTGATCATACCAACAATGCTCTTGGACTCATTGTTCTACTTCAATATGTCCCCAGATTATACTTGATTTTCCCATTAAGTTCCCAGATTATTAAAGCCACTGGTGTAGTTACAAAGACGGCTTGGGCTGGAGCTGCTTACAATCTTATGCTTTACATGTTAGCTAGTCATGTATGTTAAGTTTTCTTCAAATAACAATTTGCCTTTCATAGTTTAAAAAAGTTAGTTAATTATCTCTCAGCATTTCAGATATTTACATTGGTCCAACTCCTCTTCTTGTAGGTCTTGGGGGCATCATGGTACTTGTTGTCAATTGAAAGGCATGCTACTTGCTGGAAATCTGAATGCAGAAATGAAAGCCTCCCTATAAAATGTGTTCTTAAGTACTTGGATTGCGGTACTTTAAATAATGATGATCGCATGAAGTGGGCAAACACTACTTCTGTGTTTGGTAACTGCAATCCAGAAAATAGCACCAGTTTCAGATACGGAATATTTGGAAAAGCAGTGGAAAATAATGTTGTCTCCTCTGCTTTTATAGAGAAGTATCTCTATTGTCTGTGGTGGGGTTTGCAGAACTTGAGGTTTGATTCTATGTTTTGCTATTTTTCACTTGAGTATGGTTTGGCTGAAGGAGTTCTTTAAACAAAGACTATGGCTATGGAAGATGATGATCTTTATTTATCCCAAATTATTTTTTGTTTTAGTAGAAGCAAAAGCTTTGGTTCTAGATAATCAAATATCTTTCTTTACAGATGAAACTTAGCTGAACAGCACATGTCTATCTTCACTGATTCTTTGTTTGTTCACATTTGATTGATCTATTCCTTTCTGTATTTTCAGTTCCTATGGCCAGGGTTTGCCTGCAAGCACATTCGTTTGGGAAACTTCATTTGCAATACTCATAGCTATTCTTGGTCTGGTTTTGTTTGCCCACTTAATTGGTAACATGCAGGTAATTGGATTTTTTCAAATCCTCGAATCTGTAATGTCAAAATTATATTATTTTTTTAATAAGAAGTTATGTTGCTTTTACATTTCTTTACTTGCTCTAGTGCTTGGAAGTTCCATCCAGTATCCGTTTATGTTTTACTAAAACCATGACATCTGTGAATTCTTATGTCTTCAACACAAATTCTGAAACAGTTGCAATGCTTTGTTTTCTTTGGCATTCTCATATCAAAAAAGAGTTAATAATATCATGAAACAAGTTCTTCTTAGATTACAATGCTTCCCATGGACATGTCAAGAACAAGCTTCCAGGTATTGTAATTATATCTACTGGCTAACCAGCAACCTCAGCTCTAGAAACATATCAGTCTTTTGATTTGTTATATGTGTATAATCTACTGAAAATATTCCTGGAGGTATCCTGACTCTACAACCATCCTAAGCACTCTTGAACTTGTCAATTTTTGTTATTTGGCGTTGTTGACTAGAACACCTTGCCAGAATTTGCTATGTCATATGGTGGAACTTCAATTCACAATGGTAAAAATATATTGACGATTTGACGTGTATGGAGGAACACCTAAGCATGCTGAATCTAATGCAGGCATTGATGCACTTAAGTCACCATAAATTATTACAACTGCAGACATTTCAGTTTTAAAGCTTTTTATGGATTTCAATAATTGCAGACGTTTCAGTTTGCATGACTTTATGTTTTGTTTATGGTTATTTCCGTTTTGTATCAGTTTTTAAGATCATTGATAGTCCTTTGTTGTCAGTTACTTTTTGTATTGCCTTTAAAAGGCTGGTTAGAAGGATGTGAGGAAAGACTTTTTGATTATTGAAGAATGATAATATAGCAGAAAATTTCTGTATTTTCCTGAAAGCCTATTTTCCCTATAATTTTGCATCAGACATATTTACAATCTATTACTGTGAGGCTTGAAGAGTGGAGGCTCAAGCGACGTGACACTGAAGAGTGGATGAAACATCGCCAGCTTCCACAATATCTCAGAGAGCGTGTCCGAAGATTTGTTCAGTACAAGTGGCTTGCAACTCGAGGGGTTGATGAAGAAACAATCTTACGAGGCCTTCCTACAGACCTACGTAGAGATATCCAACGTCACCTTTGTTTGGACCTTGTTCGACGTGTAAGTTCCTCTAAACAAATATTCATTGCATCAAACTTTGGAACTTTGAGCATGAAATCAACATGTAGAAATGTTCAATCATTTTTTCTCCATGCTTTTGAACTATATTAGTTTCTTGAAGTTTATGATACATCATGTAATGGCTTTCTTTCTCTACCAATTATAGGTTCCCTTTTTCTCACAAATGGATGGCCAGCTACTTGATGCAATATGTGAGCGGCTGGTATCATCCTTGAGTACTCAAGGCACATACATAGTTAGAGAAGGTGATCCAGTTACAGAGATGCTTTTTATCATTAGAGGGAGACTTGAAAGCTCAACCACAAATGGAGGAAGAACTGGTTTCTTTAACTCTATTACATTGAGGCCTGGTGATTTCTGTGGAGAAGAGCTACTTGCATGGGCATTGCTTCCAAAATCTACTCTCAACTTGCCTTCTTCTACAAGAACAGTTAGAGCCCTTGTAGAAGTGGAAGCCTTTGCATTAAGAGCAGAAGATCTTAAATTTGTGGCCAATCAGTTTAGACGTCTCCACAGCAAGAAGTTACAGCATACCTTCCGTTTCTACTCTCACCATTGGAGGACATGGGCTGCTTGCTTCATTCAGGCTGCTTGGCGGCGGTACAAGAAGAGAGTGTTGGCAAAGAGCCTTAGCTTGAGGGAATCTCAGTCCTTCAATGATGATGAACAAGTCAGGGATCAAATGGAACATGAGGAAGAAGACCACAGTGCTGTGACTTCAAACACTGCACAAGTAAAACAGAACCTAGGTGTCACTATACTGGCTTCAAGATTTGCAGCAAACACAAGAAGAGGGGTTCAGAGGATCAAGGATGTAGAGATGCTCAAGTTGCAAAAGCCTGAAGAGCCAGACTTCTCAGTAGAGCCGGATGATGATTAGCTTAGTGCTGCAATATTAATTAATTGATACAGCTACTATTTCCAAGGGCCAAGGTCTAGAGTTCCATACCATCTTCCAGAGTTAGAAATATCATTCCTCATACAAATAAGCTGGGTCCATACTATAATATGTGTGCATTATTTGTTTGTTGATGGAGAAGCTTTCAGGTTGTCTCTTAACCTGTAATTTTTTATTTTTGGGTACATAAGGCCAGGACTATACTTTTGAATTGAGATCCCATCAGAATTAACATGGTTGATGACCATAGGCATCAACTTCTTGCAGGAAGTTGCTTTTGTTTGTGTTGTCAGCTCGCTACTTCTCCTTCACAAAATCGATTTTCCTCTTGTATATTAGAATTCCTTGACATACTTTACCATACAAGATTGCTTGTATACTATTTAGTTAAATAGTTATATCCTATTTGTTCCTGTCTTGCCACATAATTTTAGTTCTTGTTTATCTTTATATTTTTTCTTGTAATTTAAACATATAATTTGCTTCGGTGGCACTTTAAAGTACTACTTTGATACATTATCATAAACTTTTTCATGTCATGTTCAGATTAAAGTGCTCATACAGTTTTGAATGCAAAAATTATGTTATCATTCTTCTTTTTCCCCCGGCTTTAGATGCAGTTCAATATCATGACCGATACATCCATCCAAGGGCCAATTCTGTCCTTAAGCATGTTAACAGTTGGTAAGCTGTGGCGTCAATAGATTCACAATACCATAAAGCATATTGGGTCAGTGATGTAATGTAAATCTCACCTAAAAATCAGTTTTAAGAACATGAATCTGTTAAGGGGCCACATCAGAACTAAATGATGAAGCTACTTGAGATTTTTTCCTTGCTATTTACCTGCCGACACCATTTTATTTATGAAACTCATAGTCATGCAATTCAACCACAAATCATATTGCGTAAGTAACAAAAAGGAAAAAGGGTGTGAAATAGAGTTGGGGGAATACAATTTATTGTTTACATTAGAGAACAATGAATGTACAGAAAGATGTCCTGTTTTGCACACCCCATTTACCATGAAGGCACCTATGACTCAAGACGTATCAAGCAAGATGCATTCCACTCGTACATTTGGAATGGTAAAACAAGAAACTTGAATCGGAACTCCCAATCCCAAATACAACCCAAGAACACAATGAAGAAAATTGAAGATTTTATACACCGACCTATAACAGATAACAAGAATTCAGTACCTGTAAGAGTACAATGACCAGTGTCCTATATGGAATACTTGTGATGAATCGTGTGAATGCAAAATGGATAGAGTTGAATAACAACAGAGAAACCCTGTAGGGTACTTGCAATCAATTATGTGTTTGCTAGACCTGTACTACGAATTTCAGAAGAAAAAAAGGGATTTAACTTTCCTCTACTTCATTGCTCATTTTGCTGCTGGACTATAACTGGCTGATAAACCAGTAGAAGGAGTTTTCCATTTGTCTCCTCTTAACTGTTTTGAATGAAAACTAGCTCATCTGCTCACCAATCAAATCAAGACCCACAAGGAGGAAGGTCACCCCTTGGAAAAGCAGAAAGTAGAAGTGAACTCCTTGTGCAGATAACAGACTCCTGACAGAAGCTGTGAGAAGGAGGAATGCCAAAGTCAGCTCTTTCTTATATATCTTATTAGCTTTCTTGACAGGTGCTGGAGCTGCTTCTTTGTGTTCCTTAAATTGGTGTGACTCAATGAGTTCACTGTCAGAAGCTCCTCTATGAATCTTTTGTTGTTCTATTGACTTACCTTCCTTTTCTGCAGCAGCCAGTAAGTCGGACTCTGATGACCTGCCAGCCTTCTTTGTGACAATCCATTCATAAGAGCTGCCCAATTGGAAGAGTCCAGATACCATTGCATTGAATTTGGTGACAGACATGGTATTTTCAAAAAGGAGGTAGGGAACAATAAAAGGAAAAGATTTTGGGGCAGGAAGAATGTTAAGGAAGGACATAAACACAGGTACATAGCAGATCACCCATAAAGGAAGTTCTGCCTCTGGGACAAACATGGTTAAAGGAAGAATAATGCAAAATAAGGTGAAGGAGTAAAAGGGAAGGATTAATTTCCTTAACAGAAAAAATAGCAGTATTAAGTTTGCTTTCTTCCATGCTGACACCTGCAGTTAAAGAGAATTTAAGGCCCTTAAGTGTTGGAAATCGACAATCACACAGAATCGAGAAAACAGAAAAAGAGATAAGAGTAGAGAGATTGACACGATGATTTACCCTGGTTCACCCAATATAGGCTACGTCCAGCTTGTCTGTACTATATTCACCTCACCGCCACTCGTTACAAGTCTCTCGGTTTACAAGGCAAATATAAATAGGATTACAAGAAACCCTAACAGCAGCTATTCATGGGCCCAAGCCCAAACTGCTAAGAAAATTACAATAGAAACAGAGGCCTAAACATTACCTAGCCTCTACGGGCCTGGGGGCGCTGCCCCCCGGACCCCCGCCCGCTCACCTGGGAGCGGGACCCCAGTTGCCTTTCTGCTGACCCCAACAATTAGGGCCAACATCATCATGTGAAGTATGAGTCATACCCAACATTAAGGCAGTGCATAATACAAGCAATACTTGCAAGCTATCAGAATTAGCTCCTTTTTGTTTTTTGTTTTCTTCTAATTACAAAAAAAAAAAAAAATTGCTTTTCTTCATCACTATTCTATTTATTACTTAAAGCTGAGTATCAGATATACCTTAGATCTTAAAATTGCTGGAAGACACAACCTGAAAAGGTGCATAGGACCTGAGTGCCAGCGGTGTTGCTGCTTCCTATAAGCTTCATATGACTCAGGAACTTCACAAAGTACCTGAAATTTTACAAATTTAAGGAATTCAAGAGAGTACTTCAAGGATCTGAGGTGAACATAAAAGTTTCAATTCAAGAAGGTGACAGAACTAGTCATATCATGCATATATAAGAATATTACTCTACCAGTACATTATGCACTGCAACATAAAGGAGACATGGTTGAAAAAAAAAACTGTCATTTATGATCACCTTTACATCATTTAGGAAGATAAATTTCCAACCATTGAGATGAGCTCGGACAGCAATGTCCATATCTTCTACAGTTGTCCTCTCCAGCCAGCCTCCAGACTCTTCTAGGGCTTTGATTCTCCAAACACCGGCAGTTCCATTGAAACCAAAAAAATTGAGGAATACCCCATTCACCTGCTGTTCTACCTCAAAATGGAAGCATAAATTAATGTTTTGGAGACGAGTCAACAAGTTCTCATCCTTGTTCACAAAAGACCATCTAGCTTGGACCAAACCTAGCTCAGGATTGTCCTGCAATAAAAGGCATGGACAGATATTAAAATATGCTAAACACACTTTCCAACAATCTTTATTGAATATGTTTCATGCTCTTTAGTTAACCTTGAAATGTGGCACAGTTTGCTTAAGAAAATCAGGATTTGGTTGAAAGTCTGCATCAAAAATTGCAACAAACTCATAGTCTTCAACATAGTCACAGCTCATTGCAGATTTAAGATTCCCAGCTTTATATCCAGTCCTGATTAAGCGATGCCTATAGATTATGTTGATTCCCTTTTGGCTCCACTTAGAGACCTCCCCCTTAATTAACCATTGTATGCTCTCATCATCGGAATCATCAAGTACTTGAATCAGTAAACGATCCCTTGGCCAGTCAATTTGGCAGACTGCAGAAATAGACTGCTCATACACCTGCATAAAGTCGGTGCATGCAAAGTGAAAAAGAAATTATACGTTTATCCAGTTAACTTTGTATATTGTCATAGATTGCTTAAAAGAGTTAAAAATTCCTCAACACAACATAACATCACGAGGAAACTCCCCCCACTACTGATAAGATAAAACTTATCTTCCCAATTATTAAGATATGGAGTGTAAATAATGCTATCGATACTATACATTGTTTTCACGAGAATTCTTCTAATTCTTTAAGCATTGCAAAATTCTAAATTCTATCTTCTTAACATTAGCAAAATTTATTCCTGACGAAATAAAAAAAAAAAAAACTAGTTAAAATTAGTATATTGAAATTTGCTGCTAGCTTAAATACTAGAAACAAACAACTTGAGTTATTCAATAAGCAAAAGTGGAATACAGAAGTTTGGTGTTATACCTCCCTCTCGTTGCACATTGGAATTTGAACCAGAACCATGGGGTAATGGCATGCAGATCCTTCGACATCATCAATTTTGAAGGGATCCCCATCAATCATTGGCTTAACCTTCCTGTATTTTATCCAAAAGCACCCCAAGCAAAGAACCATACGATCCACAGATTGGATAAGAAACAAAACAACACAAAACTTTGAAAGTGCCTGTATAAGTGGAGCAATGTACTCAGCACGAAACGTTAACCAAGCAACATAAGCCATGTGGAGCAAACCTTCCAAATCCGAAGTACGAGGAATGTGCAACCTAGGATTCCCAAAATGCCAACCTTGTAAGTAAGCAACAACCTCAAAGGTCAGCACTGCCAAGGAAATCACTAGGAACACTCTAATGACTCTAAACAGCAACTTTCCTTTTTCCAACTTGTCACTCTCATTCTCCACAGTTACACCTTGTCTATGAATCAACCTCTTCTTAATGGCTCCGAGCAATGTCCACAAAACAGTGGCAACCCAAGTGACACAGCCAACAGCATGATGAGCCTTGAGAAGCAACACCCACGTGACTTGCTTAGCATTCTTGCCGCGGCTTTTCTCTACTGGCCTGAATGCAGCATCTGCACTATTAATCTCCACAACAGAGAAAGTGGGGTTCTCCATTTTCACCACCAAGGGTGTTCCTTTCTGTGTATCCTTGATCCACCAATTGGAAAAATCCAATCTTGGAGCCATTCCAACAGTGGAGGAGGATTGGATGTAGATTAAAAGTTCACACACACAATAAAACAAATATATTATGTGTATATATATAGATATTCACAGACTCAAGACACCAACTTCATCAATCTTGTCGAGTACACATGATGCTAAAGAGTAAAAGACTCAGATCTGGAAAACCCATGAAAGAAACAAACACAGACCCACAGATTCCGAGTTGCTCCTATTGGAACTGAAGGAACCCTCTTGAAGGCTCAGCATTTAACAAAATGCAGCATTTAAAAGCAAAGAACGTGAATTGAGTGAGGCTCTTTTGTAGCACTGTGATGGAACTCTAGAAGGAACCTAACATGGGAAAGCCACATTATGAGGGAAGGTATCTGCAGCTGTAAGACTGAGACACTAACTTCCAAGTGGGGTTTTCCCATCTATTTGACTCCCCAAGAATAAAGACAATTACAACGTGATCATAAGCTAATCAAAATTAGCAACACTTTACTATGAGAAAAACACCTGAAGGAAACACTGTTGAAATGGTTCACTCACTTGCAAAATATTTCATAAATGTGTGAGTTCAAATTTTGCTGACCAATTTAAAAGACTTTATTGGTGGATGATATATAATTTTTTTAAAAATCTTTTGAGCTAATGAGAGACTGGTATCTAATTTTATTTAAATTTAAAAAAATATTAAAAACAATTATTGTTTTAAACTGAACATATAAAAATATTTTATTTTTAATTTAAAGTGTGTTACACTTTTCATTAATTAAAATTTAAAAATAAAGAACTTTACTTTCCCTTTAATAAAAGAATTTTTCTCATATTTTTTAAGATATCCACGTTAGTACATTACAAAAAGAGATCATATGTCGACCCACTTGATAGAAGGAATTGAAGATTCGGGGAACAATGTGATTTATGAACTTCGCAATTAGCATAACAATCTTTATTTAGAACATTTTACTGATATAATGACAATAACAATGATAACGAGAATAATAATAATGCCAATAGCCAAGGTTGGGATGCGAAGCGTGTAAAAGGCTAAAAAGTTTACGGTGAATGTGACAAAGACCATGTACCTAGAAAAATGACATAATAAGGTTAACCGGTGTTTGGTAGGAGTTTTTTCTCAAGATACTCAAGTTGATATTGATATTTCAAATGGTTGATGTTTGGTATAAGTTTTTAAAAAATTCATCCAGTAAATTAATTTGTTCATTATTTCTGGTTTCTTTGAAAATTGTGATGAAAAATACTGTTTAAGAATATCACTTTCAAGGTGATATTTTGAAATTACTATCAAAATGAAAAAAAGGAGCATGAAGTTGATGACAAAAATGATCCTCTTCTAATCCTATTCGTGTACTGTGCAATATTATCTAGTTTGTTTTCATAATTTCACACTATTTTTCAACAATATTTTACTTTTAATCAAATATAGACTCAGAAAATATTTTCCGATAATATTTCAGCCTACCAAATAACATTTTTTTAATTTTCCTAAAAAACTCATTTTTCCATCATATTTTCAGTAATTATAATTCTCCAATAAAAAAAAATTCTCCTTTACCAAACACCCATAAAACTTTCAACATATTTTACAGCTACATTTCATTATTGCTTGAAAATGACACCTAGATTTGGACGATTATAGGCCTCGAGGGGTTAATGTGCATTTTTATAAATGAAAAACACTATTCAGTGAGAAATGGAAGCTTCTTTAGGAATATTCCTTTCTTCTTTTTAACATTATAGTCAAGGCACCAACATGGATAAAAAGAAATATTTACTAAGACACCTCACTCCAGCTCAGGTCAAGCCATTTTGTGCATTTTAAGCTATAAAGTTATAATTATTAATTAAAAAAGTAAGAACACAAGTTTTAATAATTTTATAATTTATATGTATCATATAATTCGATCTTTTTCAACAAAATTATCACATAGTAAATTTTAATGATTAATTTTTTAATCAATAGTTATAAATTATAATTCTATACATTTTTAAAGGGACATGATCATTTAATACTAGTATCAAATTTTCTAGTTTGACACTAAATTTCAACCATTGAATTATGTCAATTAACAATTATAATTTATGGGATCACATTTATTATTTAATCAGTAATTCTTAATAAATTATAATCGTCAATTGACACAAATTAACGGTTAGAATTTAATGTCAAATTAAAAAATTTGACACCAGTGTTAAAGTATATTATCCCTTTTTTAAATTGCAATTCTTTTTATTTTAATATATTAAATTACAATACCCAAAGTTGTTGGATAAGCATTGTCCAAAGTTATTGATGCTAATTTACGAACATGCAGTGTGTTCCTTGTGAAACTGGAATGAAAAGGAAACGTATAAATTAAGAAGGGACATGACAGTACAGCTTTGTTGCTGGATCCAAAGTCTAGACTCCCGAGTGAATATGTTGCAATGAGCACATTTAGTTGCCACCAGAAGAACATAATTAATGCTAATGTAACCAGAATAATAAAGTGCCACCAGTTTCAGATAAGCAAATAACTGAAGCATTTATTGCGCTAGGCATTTACACATTATAACAAGATCATGTAATTAGAGATATTATGTTGATAAATTTTGATGCAAAAGAACTAAATAATAGTAATCAATCAAAGATTACAAAGTCAGTCACGTATGGATGGTTCATTCATTCTCGTTTTCATTGTTCATCGTGTAATCTTAACTTATCTTATAATCAATTAGTCATATTATTGACGTTATATATACTATTACTTGTTGTAATTAATAACACCTCAGAATGGCAATATATAGTTACTCTATTCCAAAAGCATAGAAAAATCCAGAGAAAAGAAATAGAGGTAATTTTCTTTAAAAAAATAAATTGATGTTTCATATATGTTTAGGCTAAAATAAATGTTTACCTAATTTTTTATAGCAATTCTTCTTGGTCTTGTTGGAGAGTTTATTGAGAAAAAAACGTGAAAGGGAAGAGGCAGAAGAGAAAAGAGAGGAAGGAAAAAGAAAGAAAAGTATTTGATATTTGATGTGGTTTGAAATTAGTAACAAGAACAAAAATGGTGTATGATGTCTCTGTTGTAATAGGAGTATCGTCAATATTTTGGCAAATCTGACTTCCATGCATGTGATACTAGATTGCCCCCAACAACCTAAAATCTTGACAGGTACTCTCTGAGCTGGATTTCAAATGTGTGTGTTTGTGTCTGTGCCTTCTCTCACATCAATTCTATGCTTTGTTAAAAAAAAAAAATTGGTAGATAGTTGAGTTCCTTAAACATGTTGATAGGGGTTCGATTCTTAGCCGAGCGTATGAAAAATGCTTTATTGAGAAAGATTTACTCACTTAATGTGATCTCTTGCCTCAAAAGAATTAGTTTTCGACTGTCGGCGGCTGGAGGATACCTTAAGAAACTAAAAATAAAAAAAATAAAAAATAAAAAATGAATAGACACTTAAATATACAGAAAATACTTCAACCCAAATTATAAACCAGGGGAAATCTTTACTATTACAATTGAAAGGGGGTCAAATCAATTCATAAGCATAAGCTATGAATTGGTTAATAATTCAATAAATAATGTTTACAAGCTAATAAATTGAACTTGATAACGAATAAGAAAGTAACAAGAATTAATAATTAAATGTAATATGTCTTAGATTTATTCTTATCTTAAGATAAGAGGAAAATGTGTGTTCTTACCCAAAAAAAGAAGAAGAGGAAAATGTCTGCAGAATTCTTCTCCTTCACTAAAAAGAAAATATTCCCTGATACCAAAAGCAAATAATAAAATGATAAATGTTTTTTCTTTACACCGACATTCACAGCTATAAGTAAAATTATAATAAGGAGCTGACTCTCATATAATTTTTTTTTAAATAATTTGATAGTCGATACTCAATGTTGTGCATAAGTCGTAAAATTGCGTTTTACTCATTAAATATACTTTTTTTTAATTTGATAATTTCTTTGTTTATATTTAACGGCTCATACATCTAATAACTCAGTTAGATATAAATAAAATTAACGATAAATGTAATGCTCATAATCATTTTTTAAATCAAACATAAAACCAATATTTATGTGTTATGTGTTTTTTTTTTAACAAATATAATGCACCGTAAGAGAACCGCACAAAGCTATTTACGTTTTACAAAAACCGTATTGACATGTGGACCAATCTCTGTTTGGACTCTGAACCTGATGGCTTTAAGGACGTTTGTTTATACATGAATTTAGTTGATACCAAGAGATATAAAAATATAATAAAAAATAAATTAAAAATATATATTTTTGAGTTTAAATCATAATACAGCTGTGAATGTGAATCTTTGAAAGTCAATAAGAACTGGTAAGGGTAAACTCAAAATATCTCACCTCCTATTTGCGGATGATTTGATGCTTTTTCTAGAAGTCAGTGAAGATCAGCTTAATATCATTTTCAGATGTTTGAATTTGTTTGGAGACATTTTTGGGCAAAAGGTGAATATTCAAAAATCTTCTATTTATTTCTCAAAGAATACTCCAGATGAGTTAGCTACTAAAATCACAGAAGAGAGTGGATTTAAAAGACTAACAAATATAAGAAGATATCTGGGAGCAATGATACATCATGGTAGAGTTACTAAAAATTTATTTGCTGGTATAGTTGAGAGAGTTAAGAAAGATTATCTAGCTGGCATTCCCAGTCTCTCTCAGGCGGGCAGTGTGATTCTTTCTCAATCTGTATTGTCTCTTATGTCGTATTACTTCCTGCAAAGCAATATGATTCCTAAAGCTGTCTGTAATGAATTGGAATAGCTTCAAAGAGCCTTCATATGGGGTGATACAGAAAGAAAAAAAACATGTGCATCTTATTGGTTGGGACACAATTACAAGACCAAAAGCAGATGGAGGGCTGGGGTTAAGGAAATTACAAGTCATGAATGAAGCTTTCTTCGGAAAACTAGTTTGGAATTTTGTTAATGATCCTGATCAGCTTTGGGTGAAGGTACTAAAAGCTAAGTACACAAATTCATCCAATACTCATACTGATTTAACTTGGAAGAATGGTAATTCTCGTCTTTGAAAATTTATGTGTGATGTTTGGAATAAGCTTAAACCCAAGCTGATTTGGGATGTGGGTGATGGTTCTTCTGTTCTGTTTTGGGAGGACCATTGGGTGAATATTGGGGAAAAACTTGCAAACAGAGCTATTGCTCAAATTTTTCCAACAGAGGCTGGTAAGAGAGTAATTGATTATGTTACTCATGATGGAACTTGGGATTGTGAGAATATATCTAATTTTCTTCCTGATGATTGTGTTCAAATTATTAGAAGCATGCTGCCTCCTCATGAATCTAATGGTATGGACAGAAAATGGTGGAATTTAGTTGGATCAGATGAAATTTGGGTTAAAAATATTTCTTTTACATTGCTAAATCAGAATAGTTCTAATAGTATTGACAAAAAATTCTGGTCAGCCATTTGGAATTTAAAAGGGCCCAATCGGATAAGTTTGTTGCTTTGGAAGACTGCTCATCATCTTCTATCAACTAGGAGCTTCCTGGCTAACTTTAGATTGTGTCCTCCTAACTGTCCTATTTGTAATTTTCACGAGGAATCCATTATTCATATGGCACGTGAATGTCCCAAGATTAAGAAAGTTTGGTCTGATCTTTTGAGGCCAAATTTGATAATTGATTTCTTTGATACTGATTTAGATTCTTGGTTTTCCTTGAATATTCAAAATGTATCTATTTTGTGCTTTGATGCCCCCTGGTCGTTGGTTTTTGGTGTGGAAAATAATGGGAAAGAATACAAGGTGCATTCCGTAGAGAGTCTGGTTCGTGAGTATACACAAGCCTGGATAATTTCTAAGGGGACGAAGCTGACCAAGAATTGCATTTCTATTCCTATTAGATGGTTACCTCCGGACACAGTTTGGGTGAAATTAAACACGGATGGTGCAGCCAGGAGTGATGGTAGGGGTGCTGTTTGTGGAGGAATTATAAGAGATGAAAATGGTTATTAGAAATAAGGGTTTTCTTACTATATTGGCCATTGTTCAACTTTTGTTGCATATTTATGGGGCGTTCTCAAGAGTATTGAATTTGCTTGGGCTAGAGGTTGGAGACGCTGCATCCTAAAAAGTGATTCAAGCTCAGTTATCACTTTGCTCTCCAGCAGTGGAAGAGCAGCTCGAGAGTCTCGCTTAGTGACTCGAATTCGAGCATGGTTACAAGAGAATTGAGAAGTTCAACTGGTTCATGTTTTTAGAGAAGGAAATAGTTATGCAGATTGGCTTTCTAAATATCTTTTAGACTATGCTGTTGAGGATAATTTCTGTGTTTGTTCAAATCCTCCCCCTGGTATTTGGCCTTTGTATTGGGTTGATTTGTCTTTATCTTGTAATTTCAGAACGATTTTATTGAATTGATCTCTTTGGGTGTTGTTAACCCCTAAGATTACCAAAAATTAATAATTATTTTTTAGATTTTTTAATTTAAATTATAAATCAAACCTTTATTTTTTATATTAAAATTATAAATTTTGATTAAATTTTTATATCTTATGATACTCGATACGTATTGTATCGTATGATATAATATTATATTTTCCTATATAAATCTTTTCTGATATATCTCACAATATGTATCTCTATACTTATGAATCGAATCGTAGTAAAGCAATCATATCGTGTCTATCGTAATTGTTCGTTACGTCGGTGGAAGGAATAATTGTTAATTTAAGATGGCTCTTTTTTATTTTCTAAAAAATTAAAACGACATTTTTTTTTCTTTTGCAGCAAAAAAGAAACAGGCTGTATACTTTTCTACATTTCTCTTTGTTTATATATTTTGGTGAAAGAGGCACTAAGTTTCTAGCTACCTGCATCTAAATATGGGAATTAAACTGATTTAAATTTCACACCTTTCTAGTTTCCACCTTTTTCTTTTTGTCTAAATTTGATCCGAGAAGATCATTTGGAGAATGAAAATGTCAATATTAATTATTATAAAATAAATTAAAAAATAGTACAGACATGTCACACAGAGACAACTATAGGTTTCAAGAGAACTGCAGACAGTACATAGATGGCACAGCAGAACCTTAATTATAGGTAATGTCATGCATTCATTGATACTGCTTAACGCTTGCACTCTAGCCTTCTCTACCTTGCCTGTGATGTGATCATGACCACCTGGGCATCACGGGATATGTCCCATCCCCCTTTTATTTTATTACTCTTTATTCTATTTTTTAAAATAAAAAAATGATGGCAAGGATAACCTATAATGCACGGACACGGACACTGGACACGGGACACGACACGCCGACACGTTAATTCTAAAAAATGTTATATTTCGACACGTTGGGACACGTTTTGATATTAAATAAAATTTTTAATATATATAATATAATTTATATTTAATACATATAAGAGTCCATAATAAGTCATATAACCAATCAAATATTTAAATTTCATAATATGAATATAAATATAAATAATTTTTCTTATTTTGTTAATTTTTAATGTCAAATTTCATAACAGAAAAAAATTTAAATTATTTCTTTTATATTTAGTTAACAAAATAAAATTAAGATTTAAAAAAAAAAACGTATCCGAGCGTGTCCCCAAATATTGATCGCATGTCCCCAAATATTAACCGCGTGTCGGACCGTATCGAAGAGTTGATTGCGTGTCCCCAAATGACCGCGTATCAGACACATGTCAGAGCGTGTCCGTGTCCGTGCACATGAGAGGATAACCTACATCAAGACTATTCACAAAAGTGTCAATCACATTAGACTTCGACTTGCTGACAAATTAGGTGTAGCAGCGCACCACCTTTGTGCAAGATGCCATCTTTAATTCCTATACAAGGTGATATATAAGTAATATGGGGAAGGGAACTATGTATCCCTGACTTAATTTACAAATTAACTTGAAATTTAGTTAACTAAAATTCCGAAAAAAAAAAAAAAAAAATTTAGTTAAACGGGAAATTTGAACCCATGGTGATAAGAAATGCTAATTGACATTTATCTATTTGATATGTGAACTGAATTTCATACCTCTTCGTAGGTGAAGAAAAATTCGCATTATTTAGCACCAATACTCTACGTTCTGAGTTTGGTGGCCTTTCGGTCTCTTAGCAACGCACAATTTCTATTGCTAGTTTGGTTGCCTTTTTGGGATAAACGATAAAATATTACCCACTATGAATCCATAAACACTAAAACTGCTTATAAGAAATAAGTTAATTTGTTGGGGCCATTATATTGTAGAAGTCACTTTTTCAGTTATTCGGGCTTAACCCAAGCTACAGAACCTCGGGCTATAGTAAATTAAAAACTTTAGGTTAGTTTGAATTAATGAAATTTTATTAAGGATAGAATCCCAAAACGAGGCTAGTTAAAAATAAGAATTTCAATAAAAAATTAATCACATGTATCAAATAGACTAAATCTTAAAAATCACCAGAAATATCAAAGTTGTAACATTAGAGAATCCAATTATTGGGTTCTTAATCACAACAGTACTTAAAAAATTAATTTCATAATAGTGTTAAAATACCTTGATCAGAGACCTATAAAAGCTAAACTATTTTCGATTAGGGCATTCAGGCTTAAACTAAGCTGATAGTCCAGAACAATCCAATAACGAGTTAATTCTGAAATCAAGTCCATGTTTGGCAACAATTATTTTTAGAAAAATAATTACTTTTTTTATTTTATTTCTTTCAAGAAAGTTTATTGTTAAAAACTTAAAATACAAAATAAACTAATTCAAACACACTAAACTTAATTGTCAAAATTGAAATGGAAGGGGTCTGGATGATCAGTGATCACACACATGTACAAGGATGCCAATCTGCAAATAGATACAAGGGGCCGGAACTAAGCCATACTGTAGGTAACACACTTTATCACAACCTTTCCAACAATTATCAATTTCTGTGTTGAGAGAATAGAGCGTAAAATAAGATAGAGACCACCCACAAATGGCATAGTCTGATATTCTGTATATATTTCCACAATAAAAGTACAACTGTTTTATTGAATTCTGCATATGTCGGTCTACTACCTCTGAGGCTCTATGTGAGCCTGTAAATTACTGTAAAATAATGAGAGAAAGGGGGCCGGGGGGGGGGGGGGGGGGGGGGGGGGAGCTTAAATACTAGTGCTTATAATCATAGTAAATCAGAGTAAAGAAACAGTTATGTAACTGTTAGTTTTCACAGCAACTCATCAATGCCACTTCTATTTACGATGAGCCTCCACATCTGTTACTAGCTTCACTGTCTTACTTTTTTTCTGCCGATATTTAGCATATGAATACCACACACCACCAGCTGTATTGATGACCAATCCAGTCACATTCAAAGCATGAACTTGAACACCACCCAGTAAGACGAAACCAAGGGTCTGAAGAAGCAACATGAAACAGATTTAATGTTTACAGTTAAAATTAAAAGTTCAAAGAAAAGATGGATGGATGGATGATGTATATGTATCAATATTCAGTGCCAGGGCATTATTCCAAATTCAAGTTTTTGTGCTGTGACAGAAATTTTCTATGGGAAACACAGGATCACTCCTAGCTTACCGTGGAACCAACCCCTTTGAGAACGCCAACAATAGTTGTAGTTAGAGCTGAATTAACTATAGTACACAAGAACATGGTGAAGTTGAGAACAATGCCCATCACCAATGAAAGAATAAGGATCACCAAAAATGAAAAAGAATAACTCTGCAAAGGAAAACAAATTTTATGTTAGATATTAGCTTTCGCATCAATATATGACTAAATAATATATATGATCCAGCTATGCCATATTCATCAGATATATACAAATTTTTAGCTTTCCAAAATAAGTTGCCAGGTATGGCTTCCTTTGTAAACCATCACAACTAAGTTTCTATAATCCTTGATTTATTCTCACAGAATGACTACTAAAGAATACAGTTTGCCAGGACTTTGATGTAGAAGAATTAAAGAAACTGAATCAACTAATCTATTAATTAAAATTTTAATTAAAAAGCATTCTGGCATATTGTAAGAGGGCAAGTGTTTTATAACTGGGAAACAGCCCCATCTTAACAAACCAAAATCAAAAGTTGTTCCCACCAGATTATCTTGCTTTCCACTATACATCAAGTGATCTCAGCTTGATCCCCCTTTTCTTTGTCCTTGATTTTTGTTTCATGCCTAATCTCAACAAACTCACTCTCTCCCAAATCCCCCCCAGGTAGGGATTGTTTTGCAAGAAATGAACCTCCTGGATTCTGACAAAGTTATCAAATGCAGATTGCGGCATGTCGCGGTTAGCCTCGAAAAAAGCTATAGCGCTATAGCGAGTTGCGGTCGTGGAAATAGCGGAATAAATATATGACAGAAATAATGACAAAAAGAAACATTTTTTAAAGACAGAGATAGCAAAAGTGACAGAGAGAGACGCAGATAGACTAAAAAATCCTTAAAAATTTTCTGTTACACATTTAAATTTAGGACAAAATTGATATTTTGCCTTATGACAGCAATATGGCCGCGATTTGGCCGCAAATGCTATCGCAATGGCCGCTATTGCGTTCCAGTGCGGCGTGGCGCGGTTTCTTGCGGCAAGGCACCACAATGCCCATACGGCGCTATTGCGGCGCAATTAATCGTAATATTCTAGAGTGGACAAGTAAGTAGAAAATTAGCATGAAACTTTTCAATGGGAAGTATCAGACAGAGGAAGGGACGAATAGTGCTGATGTAATTCTTCTTGAATTATCCAACAACTCAGAAAAACTGTCACAAGGAAATGAATGACTACTGAACATCATTTCCTGTTGGGGATAACCTAGTAGTAGCAAGATCAAACCATTATGGGGGCTTTTAGCAGTTCCATTTGAAATCATGGTATTTACTGGGTTGTTTAGATTGAAAACAGAACCTGATAAAGAATCAGGTTGAGATTCTCACCTTTGCAAACAATACTGATAAAGAATTTGGGAATTCCCCTGTGGCTATGATGAGAAACATCAAAAATGGAAGAGATAAAAAGCTGTTATAGAACATGATTTCCACCGATGAAAGTCCATCCTCAGCACCAGATTTTTCCACCAGCACAAGGTACATGGTCTGCATAGATGAGTAAGCAACACTATGAGAAAAGCATGCACAATTACAGTGTCCATTACTCCATTATAAGATAAAGAACAATAAAATATCAGCAAATCACCTGGAAAAAAACAGAAATGAAAGCCATGCTATACCCAAAAAGGTCAAAGGAAAAATCCCCAAGGGCTGCAATGAGAACTCCAGCAGCAGTCAATATCACCGAAAGTGTCACCTGAAATTTGACAGAAAGGTAAACCATGTTCTATTGTGTGTGAAATCCAATAAAATTGATAGCCAAATAAAAACTTCAGCACATGCATTAAATGCAATTGTATTTTATATTAAGATTCCAAATTGGCTGTTTTACAAGGAATTGATAAAAATAAAAACAAGTGACAGAAAATCCAACATCAAAAGCCTCTTTCATAGCTGAAGAGAGGGAAAGAATAAAATGCTACCAACCATCATAGTAGGCACCCAAGGGCCAAGGCTAATGAAATGACTTCTAAGCAAAAAACAACAGCTTTGGCACTAAACACACATATTATTTTAATTATGTTCTCCATGTCTATGTATGAGAAAACGAACATCATATGTTATGATACAGTTCACCGTTGTATAAGGTACCTTCTCCAATTTTGGAGACCACTTGGGATTAATCTTTCCACAAGAAGATCAAAGTTTTTTTTTACTGCAATACCCCCTTGCTAAATCAATACAGTTCTATTACAAATGGTTCTTCTGCCTCTTTAAAAGCCAGCGAATGCTTTTCTACGAACTCTCTTTGATCTCTGTGCACCCTAGTTCAACCAAGAACTTTGATTTTTCTCATACATAAACTATCTTCATAAGGTAACAGAATAAATAAAAACTTGACAATAACAATAAATAAACTGAACAATAAAATTATAAAAACTCAAACCTGAGCTGTAGGTCTCCCCTTTCCCGAGTAAAACCCAGCGATAAGAACAGCAAGCGGTGTAAGCCTCTTTATAGCAATATACATTGGGATATTGACTCCTTTCAAACTTGCCAAAGCAAAAGCAACATTGGCATTGTAGAATATCGAAATCGGGAGCAATTGCTTGGCCGTTGCCATATCTACTCCTTTCGCTTTTGTGTATCCCATTCTCCTACCAAAGTGTATAAGCAAGGTGGTTGCCAGTTGCTAAGAAAGACAGACAGATGCAGTTATCAACATTATCGGAAACAACAAATCTTATAATAGTCAGAAGAAGAAGAATAACCAAAGCCTGAGGTTCTGTGTTTTCTTTAATTAGCAATACCTGCAAAGTGAGGAGAGTCATCGAATGTGCATACTGCATAAGAACAGCCTTATTGATAAAAACCATAGCCATTGAGGAAATTCCATATGACACGGCTGCGAACAAACTGTGAGATAACAAATTCATGGTTATACCATAAGAGCCTTGAATATTCATGATTTCAAACAGCAACATCAGCGATTCTAGTTAAGACATGTTCACTACAATTATCGAAAATTTCAATTCCGATCCAGTGAAATCCAAGCAAAGTAAACAAAAAGGATAGAAGCATATGGAAAACCTTGAAAAGGAAGTGGTTTCTGGATCGGCACGGATATCCATGGCCAATTAACGGCGAAAAGTAGATCCAATAAAATAAAACCTGAATCCAAAGTCAAGACCTGAGAATCGAATCAAATCAAAACAAATCAAATTAAACCAAATACTACGCTAAGAACGCCACGAATCAAACAAAACAAAACCGAATTGAGTAATTAAGTAATCAAATATAAAATTATAGAGAATAAACAAATAAGTAAATAAGAGAGAGGAAAGCGTTACCTGGTAAAGGCGAATTTACATGTCTGCTGGTAAAGAGAAAAGTGGAAAGAGTGATAGGAAGAAGGAAAAAGGAGGAGGTTACCGTGGAAAATGGAAGGAAATGGAAAGAGTGCGTGAAGTAGTAAAAAAAATGAATGAAAGATGAAAAGAAAAGAGGGAGTGAAACAGCTGGCGTATGGTATCGGCATGACAATGTTGTTGTTGTTGAGATTTGAATTTCTTGGCTGGTTCCCTAAAATTCGAGCAAGATGGAGACTCGTGATACCTTCTTCTCTATATTATATTTCTTCCTTTTCGGTATCACTCTTGCCATCCTATGCATTCCGGAAAAATATAATAAATAATAATATTTATTTTTTATATAGAATAAAAAATAAAATCAAAACTTATCACACTTGGACGAATAAATCCTTCGATTCAGTACATCTGCCATTATTATACGTGGACAAAAAATATTGTTTGCAAATGAGCAATGTGACATTATTTTAATCATAAATTTGTTTGCAAAAATTTCACATTAAATGACCAATTGTTTGATGTATTGTAAATGAAGATATAATACAATATAACGCATATATGTGAAGGATCATATATATATATATATATATATATATAGAATTATTTTACATCGGTGTAAGACTTATAATTCTTACATCACATCTCAATCGTTGATTTCCGTACATTCAACGGTTATAACTTAGGAAGTCATACGAATTAATCAATATTAATTAATCATTAATTACACTTCAAATACCTATCGATGATTTCCGTCCATCAATAGTTGAGATGTGGTGTAAGACTTGTAGTCTTACACCGGTGTAAAATGATCCTGAATCATATATATATATATCGGTTAGGATCATTTTACACCAGTGTAAGTTACACTCTTAATCTTGTACGTTGATCCCACTTATATCTAATGGTTCAAAATTTTTAGTAATGTGAGCCATTGGATACAAGTGGATCAATGATCAAGATTGAGTGTAAGACTTCTAACTCTTACACCGGTGTAAGAATATCCTGCCCCTATATATATATATGTGTGTGTGTGTGTGTGTGTGAAAGTTATATTTACAAACTTTTTGTTTACAACTCTTATAAAACTACATTATATCTGACCGGTCATACTTCAATCAAGAGTGTATGACCGGTCAAACTTAGTGTAATTTGTAAAAAAATTTAGAAATGGATCATTCTCCATATATATATATATGTATGTATGTATGGTAAATTCATTTCCACAGCCGTTTTACGTACAACAATGACACATGTATGATTATGATTTTCCATATTTAATGCTTTCATGTATATATATGGCAAGTATTTGACTGTTGCACGTACAACAGCTGCAAAAATGTAAACACACACACACACATATATATATATAGGAATAAGTTATATTTACAAATCTTTTGTTTACAAACTCTTACAAATTACATAATGTACTCTCAGGAGCACACTCCTAACTGAGTGTATTCCTGGGAATACATAGTGTACTTTGTAAGGTTTGTAAAGAAAAAATTCATAAATATAACTCTTCGTATATACACACACACACACACTATTAGTCCAACAATAATTGAGCTGAATCACACATGGTTGATCTTGATACAAAGTTTGCCTAGATCTTTGTTAGAATGAGTATTGGTGGCTTTGCGAGATGAATGATTTGAGGTTTAATCTCTTGATTGATTTGGATGACTAGAGGAGGTACTTACAATACACTCTGAGACTCAAGTCTATGTACGAGTTATGAGCTTTACTTAAAATGGAAAAGATAACCATAGTGGGCTTTAAGCCTTTGTTCTTATAGTGGTTAAGAATTCTACTTATGTCGTCTTAACATAACGTCATTTAATCTCATTGGTGCGGAAAATTAGCTCTTGTAAGTTATATGTGCGTAATGTTTATTTGCGAACTACCCTTCATAGGGGTAGCTAGAGGGTGCTTATCCCTTAGCCATTGCCTATTAATGTGACTGTAAAATTCTGGGCTGCTGATGTCGTGTAGTCGTAGCTCGTAGGAAATTTAGCTGCTAATTTCGTATGTTAGTGTACTTACGGAATAACTGTGTTTCCTTAGGCTTGAAGTTTTAGTTCTTGGGCTCTTTGGACTTTATATATATATATATATATATATATATATATATATATATATATATATATAGGGGCAGGATCATCTTACACCGGTGTAAGAATAATAAGTCTTACACCAAATCTTAACCATTGATTTTTTGCATCTAACGGTTAAGATTTATTAGGTCTCACTCATTAATTAATTCTTAATTCCCAATAAATCTCAACCGTTAGATGCACGGAAATCAACGGTTAAGATTTGGTGTAAGATTTATTATTCTTACACCGGTGTAAGTTGATCCTATCCCATATATATATATATATATATATATATATATATATATATATGGTTAGGATCATTTTACACCAGTGTAAGTTACACTCTTAATCTTGTCCGCTGATCCCACTTATATCTAATGGTTCAATTTTTTTAGTAATGTGAGCCATTTGATACAAGTGGATCAATGGTCAAGATTGAGTGTAAGAATTCTAACTATTACACCAGTGTAAGAATATCATGCCCTATATATATATACATTAGCGGACCTGCACTGTTGCCTCTGTGGGCAAGTGCACACAGTAATTATTATTTTTTTCTATTAAAAAGCTGCAGTTTGATTTAGTTTAGATTTACTAAATTTTTACTTTATGTTGTCATAATGGTTGGTGTTGTGGTCATATATCCAAAAATCACATTTTTTATTCTATTTAATATTTAATATCCCTCACCATGAAATTAATTAATTGCATGTAATTAGGCAATAAATTTTATATTAGTAGGTTGAATTAGGTAAAATATCTAGTTAAGTGAATTGTGGTCACTTTTGAGGTAAAAAGTGCAGTCAGTAAAAATTATGGGGTAAAAATGGATGTAGGCCAAAGTACCCAAAATGTAAAAATAAAAGTGAACATATTTCTAGAAAAATATTCCAGACCTTTGGGTAAAGTTTGTTGGTGAATGGAGTTGAATAGATAGATGAGCTTATACCCAGTTAAGATAACTTAAGTTAAGTGAGGAAACATAAACTGAACCCCATTTCATCTTCTCCTTCACGTGGCTTCTTGAGAAAACAAAACCCTATGGTTGTTAAGCTCCAAAACACAACTCTCCTAATACTCAATGGAATCACTTGATGTTCGAAGCAAAGATGCTTGGTTTTTCCTTGTAAGTGTAACCTATAATCCAAAATCTTGAGAAACCAAGTGTGTGGAGAGAAAGCCCCTTGAGAAAGTGGTGACCCATTATTGATTGGGTGTCTTGAAGTGGTCCATTGCTTGAAGTGAGGCTTGGAATCTCTTCCTTAGGTGATTCTAGGTGAGTTAGTGTTAAGAAATTCTAAGTTTCATTTGAGTTTTGTGGAAGATTAATTTCTAAGTTTTCTATGCAAATGGGTCTTTGAATGAGGTAGTTAGAGCATGATTAAGGCTTAGGCCAAGTTGGGAAAAGTATTTAGATGATGATTTTAATGGTGAAAATGTATTTGGATGATCATTTTACTCATCTTCATCAAATTTCAAAAATTAGGCCTAGATAATGTGAATTCTTGCATTTCAAGTAGTGTGACTTGGATTGTTGGTATTGATTATGTTCATGGTGCTTCTAGGTTAGATGCAAGTGGACCTATCTTGATTGATTAAGTATTGGAGGAGCCAATGGAGCTTGATCTTGTCACTTGAGATATTTCAAGTGAAGGTGAGTTCATGACCATATGAGTGATGTATAGAGTTCCTTGTGTTGGTTGTGAATATATGTTAATATTTACACGGTTGCAATTGTATCTTGTCAAGTAGGTGATTATTTGGCAAGCTATTGATTATTGATTAGAGAGCAAACTTGTGGTTGTGGAACCTTGGTGCTTAGACCAAGCATTGTCTAGGGAGCGTTACAAGGTAAGCCTTCGGACCTTGGGAATTGATCCCTTTATTGTTCCACCAAGCACGGAATGGATAATGGTTATTGATAGTGTATGTAAATGCAATAAGTAGTTTAATTTTTTGTTATACGTATGTGTATGCTTTGGGTGTGTCATATGATGGTGTTTCCCTATGTTTTGTATGTTGCATGACGATGCGTAATTCATACTTGGTAGTTTAGCTGGCCAATAGGACTATTTTGCATCTGAGTATCCTTAGGATAGCATGAGAGCTCGAGGGATGTCTCCTAGAGATGTTTTTACACAATGCATGGATATGTATTTACTGCATTATTTACGATTATTGCTATTATACTGTGAGTGAACTATGGGGTGGAGAGATGCTCCAAGGACCCCTGGTTTACTGAGATGTATTCGTATATCTTACCCCGTGTTGTGGGGATCCCCTGATACAGATGTTGCATGAGCCTCTGGTGGCAAGTGGCATACTTGGATTAGATTGATGCATGGGGATATTGCATTATTTTGGTTATGCATGTCATTTTGTAGTTCCTATGTATAGGATTTATATTTGAAAGTCATTGATATGTGTACACCATGTTTATTTTGGTAGACTTAGCCTATGCTCATCTCTTCTGATGTCTCTTTTGTTGATGGGAGCCAATGATTTGATCATAGTGTTTTGTATCTAAGTCCCATGATTATGTATTAAAGACATTTGGATATTGAAATGTTGTACTTATTGTGTATATGATGGAAGGGCATGGATGCCTATTTTGATAAATGTGTGTCTCAAAGTTGTAAGGATAATGTCTTGTAGTAGTTATACAATGCCAATTAGGTGAAAGAAGACATTTAGCTTGGGAATTAATGTAAAAAAAAGATGTCATGTCTTGTTGTCCATTTTTCATATCCTATATGATAGATTTGGACCCTTGTGTCTTAATGAAAGTTGTAGATCTTTTTCTTAGCTTCCCATCAAGACCAAGATTGAGTTAAACAGATAAGTATAACTAAAGTTATGGGAAAAATATCAAAATATAATGAAATCTTCAGAACCATGGCGCTCTTGGCGCCACCAAATAGTGGGTTGGCACTGTCGGCACCGTAAGACACGAAAGAGTCAGTAAGTTGGCGTTATCAGCGCGGGTTTGGCACTGTCAGCGTGGGACCCCTGTGAAAATTCTGCATTTTTTCTTCAAAAATTTATAACTTGAGCTACGATGCTCCGATTTGAGCGCGGTTTGAACCCACGCGTAGCTAATGAAAAAATATATAACATATTGGAAAATGAAGACCATAGAAATATTATAAAATTCCTTAAGTTAACTAAAAGGAGGCGG